CGTCGAATGACCGATTGTTTAGAATATGTGCCGTTTCCAGCTTACTATCAGTGAAAATTATTTTCTCTGCGATCAAGAATGCACGCTTCATTTGCGATCAGAAAACATTCCAATTTGCATGCTGTAATGAAATTGGACTCAGGGATTTTGCAAGACTACTGATCAGGAAATACTGCTCTCAGAGACAACAGAAGTCAACTCCAGGGTTGATTTCTGCAAAAATATACTCGGGGCCTATGTTGCGATCGCGCACTTCTAAACTACGGAAAGGGCCGCGTACAGCTGATGTTGATATTCGTCGTACTAAGGTAGTATGGCTCGATCCTTCCTCTGATAATGGTTTCTTTGTACCGCAGAATAGGATACGTTGTTCTCGATAATGCAACCGTTAATTTGTGAACATGGGGCTACGTGTACAGAAAGCCCATTCCCGTCTGATATGCGAAAATCGTCCTCATCACAGTATGCTTCCTACTCAAAGTTGTGCCCAAGTAAACTTTCCCCGTCTAAAGTTGGCCCGCTTGGCACTTTATAAACGACCGGCAATCCAATTTTCTTCGGTTCATTAAATGCATCATTAAACAATAAAATATTTTGGGTGAATCAAGGTTGTCATTACTCGGAATATATATCATTCGAACGGACGTCCGCTTCACCAGTCACGTAGAGGCTGCTGAGCGTCGATGACCATAGTTAGCAAATGCGAAGCTCAGACTCAATAGTCATCGATTGCCTCCCGGCATATCTAAAGCTTCTCAAAATGTATAAATGTGAGGGCTCAGAGACTCTTGCTTTGAAATTCATCGAGCTCTAGGTATCGGATCAGGGTCAAAAGTTGCATTTATACGCCCAACCGCGATTGACGTGTGGGCAATCATTCAGAGCGGGAAGATTGACACGGACTGCTCCGAAAACGTATTTCTCCCTGGATTCGGACCACTTTAATTTACGTCCACGGTTGAAGAAGAAACCTTTCAAAAAAAATCATTAATTCCACAATTCTTTGCTGTGGAGAAATTACTTTCCATTTCAAAGCGATCTAGAGATGCATTTTTGTGGAAGGCTTCAAATGCGGGCGTGATCCACAAACAAAAACATTTCAGTAATTCGCGCCTTCGTGAACGTACAGGCATAGGGTTCGTTGATTGTTCTCAAAAGCGGCCGACGTGCCAAAAGTGCGGTTTTATGTAAAATGGCGAACCTTGGCGCGTATATGGTGATATCTAGGGAAGATTTTGGGAGTACACTGCCAGGCCCACGCAGACATGTGCCTGGAGCCAAGGATGACAGTAAACCGATTGCATTGTCTCATTAATATAGAACCCACTGGATTCTGGATGCATCCTTGGATCCAGGCGCATGTCTGCCACGATGGGACCTACACATAAAAGTAAGACGAATCCGCACGGCCTATTCAACAAGACGTCGATAGCTGGAATGACAGATCAGCTCCAATGGGTCTTCAGGAGCACCCTTCTTCAATGACAGCTGCTCTACAAAGTGGCGGGGCCAGTCGTTGACACGTGCTGGAAACTGATAAAAGCAGAGGAACTAGAACCTTGGTGTTTCGGGTGATGAGTTGGATGCTGAAGATAACTGAAGTCAGCAAACCAGAGGTGTTAGTTAAGCGACGTAAAAAAGTTGGTATGTTGTGAGACTCGACGCTTCTGAAGCTAGTGTTCATGGCCAGATTTCTTTCTTCGCAAAGGCCCATCAACACCATCCCTGTATTTCTGTTCATTCTGGACCACACCGTACCAAATTTCTGGTTTTATTCTTCGACACCCTTTTGTGGTACAACCAAATGCGAATTAACGCCATCAAATTACAACTCGGAAATATGCGCGTACGTGTGCGTGTGTGCGCGCGCGCGCGTGTGTGTGTATGTGCGTGTGTTACTCCGTTTATTATCCTAAAAGCTAATAGCAGAATGCGAGTGCCTTTTGGAGCGGACTCAAACCCTACAGGGTCGCGCAATGTTGACCGTCTCGTGGCTCAGGTTGGTTGCAGCGCCTGCCTTCCAATTAGCTCACATTCGTGACAGGGTGAGTTCGGGTTGCTTTAGGCGCTCGCTATTTTACCTTGACTTGACTTGAAAGTGACAGGCATGGTCAGCGGCCGAGATAAAGGTCAGACGTCAGACGGCAGGACGGACCGTGCCGAGCATTGCGCCACTTGAAGCTTTCGCCACCAAACTCTGCCGTTGATATGGAATTGCGCGATCGGGTGGTAGGGGTCAGGGTTAACAAAACACGTGCTGCTTAGTGTGAGCTCTGATTCCAGAAACCCATACTTTCGAGAGGTTTGAATTAAGTCTTTAAAAAGAATGTTGCATACCCCCTACCGTTGACGAAATCCTGGATCCGCTCCGCGTTGTGTCATGTCCAAGTAGTTCAGTACAGGAAATGGCGGTCTTAACAGGCGCCCGTGTGGCCGGCTAGATACCCTGCCCTCGGGTGGGGGGTCACTTGACCCACCTGAGATCTCGGGAACTAACAAGGTTACAAACAGCAAATTTACAGGGTATGTTGACCTGCACGTGAACTCACTTAGGTCAAAGTTTGAGGTTCCTAAGTCATGACCTTCAGGTCAAATAAGGTCACACAAGGTCAAATTCCAGGTTGGTTTCCAAAGTGCCCCAGCACCTAAACAACCGTTTCTAAGCGAAAGTTTACACGCTCACTAAAGGTCAGTGACCTCATTTGACCTTTTGTAGGTCATAGTGACCAAAATCATGCAAGACTGCTCTGATTCCTGCATTTGAATAAGCGAAAAACATTTCGCTCGGCAGTATATTCCTAAAACAAATGTCAGCCAGGGTCATCTTAAGTCAATGACCTATTCTGACCTCTAAGAAGTCAATGTAGGATGCATAGTGCGGTTCCTGCTATCAATAAATTCGAAATGAGCACCAGAAACTATTCCATACAGCAAGCCCCAGAGTAACAAGACAGGCTGGTTTTGACCTGGTGTGACCTTCATACCTGACATTGAGTCAACGTCATTTTCTCATTCAAGATTTGAATTGCCTAAGAAAGCATCTCAGAGATATATGGCTTCGTCAAACACTCCGTTGTTGCATCAGTTTGAACGATTCCCTAGAAATTGCCTTCGCTGAAACCATGGCCTGACTTTGACCTGCCATAGGTCAGCGACCTTACAAGGTTCACCTAAATCTTCTACATCAAACAATCCGCAATTCGCAATTGTCTACAAATATGCAAGCTTTGGCGCGGCTACGCCGCGCCGTTCGGAAACCACTCTCGAAAAACCTTCGGGGTTCAATTTAACCGCCAGCCCACCCGAGCGCGTGTTAAGTCACTCAGCTGACGCACAACAGGTCATTCTACCTTTCAGTGTGCCTCCGGCCCCGGCTCCGGCTCCGGCTCCGGGTCCGGCTCAGGCTCAGGCTCCGGCCTCCGTAAACTCATCCTGGAGTGAGCACGACAAGTCTGCTTTTAAATGTTGTTGGAAACTATACGGATTGGTGTAAATGTGGGTTTGAGGGCTTCAGTCAACTACAGCAATCTGAATGCTTTACTGAGTGTGGGGGG